GGTTGCAAGCCCAACAATGCCCATCCTTTGCCAACTTGGATGTGCCCCTGGGCGCTTTTAAATTTGACATCTTCGTTGACGGTAGAGAGGTGTGAAAGAATGATGGAATAACATTGTTGACTATATTTTAAATAATTCAATGAAATTCTACCACGTGACGTCCAACATGTTAAGGTGCGTTTGATTGCGAACGTGAAATGTGTATGAAAATATAAATAAATTTTAGGTAATTCAACTGTCTTGGACTTATTTTTTTGAAAATTATTAATTAAACGTGTTTGATTGATTTAATTTTCAACCTAAAAAAATTATACTTGTCCAGTTTTATTGGTGATTAGATGAGAGAGAGAGAGAGACCTGGAAAGTAAAAAATCATGTCTCCCTCAAAAAAATATTTTTCTTGTTTTCAATAAAGATATGGTCAAGTGATCAAAAATATGAAAATGTTTTTCATGAAAAAAATTGTCAATCAACATCACAAAAATAAGAAATTAGGTGAAAAATACATATTTTTCATGGAAAATGTTGACAATCAAACATACCCTCAATTTAGCACGATTGGATAATGGGTCCCACTTGCACTGAATTAATGTTGGATTGGGGTTTGTTCAAGTAGGGATGGTAACTTGATGAATATGAGACGAGTAGGTCATTCTCGTTTCCTGCTTCGTCAAATATTTTTGTTATCTTATCCTGTCTCTACCCGATTAAAGCGACATGATGAGTTTAGGATGAGATCGTAGCAATTCCCCTGCCCTGTTTATTTGTTTTGTTTTTTATTTATTTTATTTTCTGTTTTTATTTTTATATCTTTAGTCGGTGACTATTATTGGCTTTTTTTCATTTGTTAAGAACAACTTATGCTCATTTTAAAAATGATGATAAATCTTTTTTTATATATATAAAAAACTTAAATTTGAAATAATTTTAAACAAGACGGGGACCATGTTTTTTATATCCTGCTTCAATGCAACAATTCTCGTCCCGTCATGTTTACTCGATTAGGCGGTAATTCATGTTTCATTTGAGACGAAGAACGAATTTTTTTTGTCACCCCTATGTTCTAAGCCATTATGTTTGGAGAATTAGGACCAATGGCCTTGTGTAATATTGTATTTAGCTAAGAGGCGTTTGATAATGTAAAAGAAAATAAATATAAATATAAAACCTTAATAAATATAAAATGACAATTTTAGCCCATACATGCAAACCCTTTCTTTTTTCAATTTCACTATCGCCTACGCCATTTCACCCTCATACCGACTTTCGAAAACACAGTTGTTGAGTCTCCCTTGAAACTTCTTCCTTCTCAATTTTACTAAAAATATCATCTCGATTTTTAGTAAAATATTCAGTCTAGTGCACGGACGGATTCATGACCAGATTACAGGTCAGGCTAATACGTAAAAAAAAAAAAAAAAAAAAAAAAAACAAATAATTTTTTTGAAAAAAAAAAAAAAAAA